TGTGCAGCCGATGAGGTGGGCGCCGGAACCGGAAGTCCTCTGTCTCATTTTCAAATGTTACCTGAGAAAACTGAAGAGAGAAGGTGATTGGTTGCTGTGGGCAATTGCTCCAGATTCCGTCTGCTTCAGTTTTGATAAATTTCCCCCATTGTGTACCTACATTTTGTTGGTAGAAGTACCGGTCCCTACATTTGCCCAACATGTTTTTTGCACTCATTTTGACCTCTTGAAAAAGTTAGAAAATTCAAAATTAGGTGTGTGTCATCTGTACAGTTCAGGAGTAATCCAATATTAACAAGTATTTGGTCAAATAGGAAGACCGAGATCAACGCGGTTCATAGTTCTTTCAGTGGTAAGGTTGTTTGTGTCATTTGGAATTATGAATTTTGGGGCTTATTTAAGGACTTATTCACCCAGCAAAAATGTAGTAGCTACAACAAGAATCCAGTGTATTTCTGCTGCTGGATAAATGGGTGAATATGATAGTTGCAGCCGCTGAGCCTGTACAAAGCAATAACAGGCTGATTGCGATCATTTGTCCTCCATGTTTCCAGCAGGATTTGTATGTCCACGTTGTGCAATCTATGTTTGAAGTCTGGATCGTTTACTTTGGACCCAAAGGCTGAAGCATTCAGACCCTGAATGTTCCAGCTACTAATTGTTAGTGATGTCATTTTGTGCTGTTATACCTTGTAATGAGCAAAACTACATGGGACACCCAGGTTGTGGATGGTTGTCTATGTAGTACATTATGAGTTCAATTCACATTAATTTGTTGTATAGTGTGCTCAGGAGGGTCCGTATCTCCTCCATGTCTCTGTTCTGTGGAGGTCTTGATGTCCATCTTGGGGCGCGTGGTTTCCACCATTCCTGCCATCTGCTTTGTCCGGTTTTTGGGTTAAATGTGTTCTTGTTTTGGTTTATTGGTGCGGTTTGAGGTCGTCTTGTGGTGGTGGTTGTTGTTGTTGTTGTTGTTGTTGTGTTAGTTTGGGTTTGGTTTGTGTCGGGTTTGGGGATATGGGTTCTGTTCAGTACAATGTCTTTAAATTCTCTTGCCAGGTGACTCACCCCTTGTTTGTTGAGGTGTTTGTTATCGTAGAGGTGTTCAGAGGTTATGGAAGGATGTTGGGCCAGGTGAATGTTGGGCTTTGATCTAGTTTTAGCCGCCAGTTCTGTGTTGATGTTCTGGATGATATGGTTCGGTATGTCCTTCCTTGGAAGTAGGCAGGATAGAATTAGTTTGGAGTGGGGGAATTTTTGGTGTGCAGTCTCGGTTAGTTGTCTCTCTCTCTCTCTCTCTTCCCCCCTCTCTCTCTTCCCCTCTCTCTCTCT